TGAGAATGCCCCCCTGAGAGCCCTGCCCCTCCTCCAGGCTACAGACTGTTCTTTCCCTGGCCCGATGCCATCTCACAGACCCTGCTGTCCTGCCTGGTCCTTCCCTTAGCCTGGCTCCCATCCCTGAAGCCAGTGATCCAGCATGATCTTCCCATCCTCAGGATCCTGCCATGCAGCCTGATCCTCCCCCTGTCCTGGTGCCTGTTCCAGGGGCCTCATCGTCCAGCCTTATCCTTTTCTTACGTTAGCACCCACCCATTCCTATTGCCCATGCTAAGCCCGTCATCATCCAGCCTTGCACCTTACCTACCCAGTTGCCCATCCCAGAGGCACTGACATCCGGCCCCGTCCTTCCCAGATCTCAATGCCCATCCTAGGGGCACTACCATCCAGGCCAGTGCTTCCCCTGCATCCCAGAGCACCCGTGATCCATCCTGGTCCTTCTCTTGCCCCAGTGCATGTCTGCATGCTGCTCTGGGCACTCTCTGGCACTCTGGTGGCACTCTCTAGACACAGCTGGTTACCTGAGCTGGCACACTCCACCCCAGACACAGCTAGCTGCCACAGCAGGAGAGAGATGGGGATAGGCCTGGGGGATCCTTCCTTTCTGCAGGCCCAGCAGGGATGCCCTTCAAAGACAGGGAGGGCATGGGTGCCCAGGGTAGCACTGAGCACCTGGGCACTGTGGTGTCTTGCAGATCGGGGCACCGTGCAGAAGGTCATTGTGCTCCCCCGGGATGACATGGAGACAGAGGAGCTCATGCTGGAAGAGATTGAAGTGTTCAAGGTAAGAGCTGGCATGTCCTCTACCCTCCGCTGAGTGTTCTTGATCCAGCCAACCAATCCCTTGGGACAGCAGCCAGCCCCTTGAGTTACCAGTCATTCCCTGGGACAGTAGAGAGCCCCTTGGGACATCAGCCAGTCCCTTGGGACACTAGTTACCTGTGTGCTAGCTCTGGAGGGACTCCAGGCTTTGGTCCTCCTGCTTGCTGCCCACTCCTATCTCCCCCTGCCTGCTCTGCCTGCTCCAGCTGCCTGTGGGGGGTCTGGAGTGCCCACCCCAGGGCTGTTAGCATCAGTCCAAGCAGTTATCCCTCCATCTTCTTCATTCCTGCTCTCATCCAGGTGCCAGCCCCCATCAAGACGATGACCATCTCCTCCAAGAGGGTGAGTCCTAGCAGAGGCTGGGTGGGCAGATCCCGTCCCTGTCCCTGCGGTGGCATCGCCCAACATCACCACAGCACCTGAGCAGGGTGTTTGCAGGGCCCTGATGCAGTGGGGATGAGGCAGTATCTCAGCCTGTCCTCCTTGTTCCCCACAGCAACAGCTGTATGTGTCCTCGGCCGTAGGCGTGACGCACCTGGCGCTGCACCGCTGTGACGTGTACGGGGAGGCCTGTGCCGACTGCTGCCTGGCGCGGGACCCCTACTGCGCCTGGGATGGCAGCGCCTGCACCCGCTACTCCGCCTCCTCCAAGAGGTACAGCATGGCCAGGGAGGGCAGGGAGGGCAGGGGGGCACCCCAGGCACAGGCTGCCCCTCTCAGCTCCCGCTTCCCGCAGGCGCAGCCGGCGGCAGGACGTGCGGCACGGCAACCCCATCCGGCAGTGCCGCGGCTACAACTCCAACGGTGAGCGGGGCTGGGACAAGGCTCCAGCATGGGACACCTGGGAGGGGAGGCTGAGGGCACAGGGTGAGCTGGGGACACAGGGATTCCTTAGCGGGGAGATGGTTTTGTGGGTGGGTGTAGGGGAAGATACATGGATGAATGGGTGGGTGGTGGATGAGTGGGTAGTTGTAGGGGGGGAAGATGAGAACTGATGAGTGGAAACATTGGGGATGAGAACAAGCACTGATGAATGGGTTGGTTCATGGATGGATGGATACTTTGGGGAGAAGATGGAACATATTTGGATGGGTGGGTGGGTGGATGGATGGATGGATGGATGGATGGATGGATGGATGGATGGAGACATTGGGGAGGAGATTGAACATACTTGGATGCAGTGGGTTTGGGGGTGACCTGGCTGCCTGTGGTCCCCCTGCAGCCAACAAGAACACGGTGGAGGCCGTGCAGTACGGGGTGGAGGGCAGCACAGCCTTCCTGGAGTGCCAGCCCCGCTCACCCCAGGCCAGCATCAAGTGGCTGCTGCAGAAGGACAACAGCGACCGGCGGAAGGAGGTAGGGCAGGGCAGCACTGGGGCCCGGGGTGCCGGGTGCCAGCACTGAGCTGTGCCCCTGTGCTGTGCCCCAGGTGCGTGGGGGTGCCGGGTGCCAGCGCTGAGCCGTGCCCCCTGTGCTGTGCCCCCAGGTGCGCGTGGAGGGCCGGGTGCTGCGCACGGAGCAAGGCCTGCTGCTGCGCGCCCTGCAGCTCAGCGACAGCGGCCTCTACTCCTGCACCGCCACCGAGAACAACTTCAAGCACACGGTGACCAGGGTGCAGCTCCGCGTCCTCAGCAGCCGCGCCGTGCACACCGTGCTGGTCCAGGCAGAGAGCCCGGCCCCCGGCCTGCCCGGCGCCCCCACTCCCCGCTACCAGGACCTGCTGCAGCTCCTCAGCCAGCCCGAAATGGGACTCCTGGACCAGTACTGCCAGGGCTACTGGAGGCACACGGCCGCCAGCCCCCCGCAGCCGCTGGCCGGCCTCAAAGCCAAGGAGCAGCAGGAGCAGAAGAAGCCTCGGAACCGCCGGAATCACCAGCCAGAGACCTATGGGCATACATGAAACCATCATCAGGGACTTTGCTAGCACAGTGGTCTATTTTTCCCCCCTTTTAATATTAAAAATATCTATAAATAAATATATATATATATATATATACATCCACGCACACACACACACGCAGACGCACGTGCACCCCCCTCCCATGGGAGGTGGTATTTATTTGTAGGCTGTACATAGGCACTGGGGTGGTGCTGCCCCCACCTCCCTGCTCCAGGGAGGAGCAGGGACCCTGGGGCAGAGCAGGGACCCCTGAGGTGGCTGCAGCCACCATCGCTGTCTTTCCTCCTGCCAAGGACCCCCAGATCCTGTTGTGCAGGGACCGTGGGTCACCACAGCCCCTCTGCCACAGAGCTGGGACACTGTGCTGGGGGATGGATGTCCCTGTGTGGGAGGGGATGATGCCCTGTGGTGGGCAGGGGGTTGAGGCAGGGAGGAGGCAGTGCCCCACAAGGACTGCCCACAGCAAGCTGGGCATGACCATCATAGTTTTGGGCCTCAGTTTCACCACAGGGTTATGGAGGAGCAAGTGCTTTCTGGGGGGAAGCTGTAGACCACCAGGCAAGATGAGGAGGAGGGACAAGGATACCCGGCTCTGTCCCCTCCCTGGGGACTTGGCAGGGGTGAGATGGGACCTCAAGGTGGGACTGAGGTGTCCAGGCAATAGTAGGGGCTTGGCCCCAGGGTCGTTGGATGCAGAAGGGAAGGAGAAGGGCCCACGCTGGTGTAAAACCTTGAGCAGCTGCTGGAGCTTGGTGACAGTGGCACCCAGAGGGGTTTGGGACACCCAGCCCATCAGCCACCCTCCTTGGGCACTTCGGTGAGTGTGGAGGGCTGTAAATAGCTGTACATGGGAACACAGGGGTGACCAGGGCTGAGTAAGTGCCCGTGCTACCAGGGGTACCCCCAAATAAACGCTGGCATTGGGACAGACGCGGGAGCCTGGTGTGCTCTGTAGGGGATGGGCCTGGCCCCATTACGACACCCCCTGAGCCCTGCCAGGGCTGCCTCTGGGGCTATGGGGTCACCATGCTGGGGCAGCCCAGGGGCTGTGGGCAGGTGCCACTGGTGGGTGGCACTGCTGTGTGTTGGGGTACACCGGGCTGGGCTGGTGCCCCCACTGGGTGTTGCTGAAGGCACTGGGAGCACTCAGGGTCACTGCTGGGGGCACAGAGAAGTGCTGTGGGCCCTGAGGAAAGTTCTGGAGCACCAGGATGCTGGTACTGGCAGCATGGAGCAGGGGAGAAACAGCAGAGGGCACTGAGGATGGTAGTGGGAGATGCTGGGAACACCTTGATTGATACGGGGGTGGTACCAAGTTCCTCTGAGTAGTTACAGCAGCCACTGAGGTCAGTTCTGAAAGGTTCTGGGCTCTATTGGAGGTAGTACTGGACACACTGGAGGTTGATACTGGGAGGACTGGGAGAGGTACTGAGGCATTAGGGTTTGGTAGTCGGAGCTGGTGGTACTGGGCAGTACTGGGAGCAGCGGAGGGGAAGTGGTGATGGTTCTCTAGGGTGACTGGGGGTCGTAGTGGGCAGTACTGGGCTGTGGCAGGGCAATGGAGATGGTGCTGTCCTGCTCTGGCCAGTCCTGAGAGGCACTGTTGTGGGCCCTGGGCTGTACTGGGAGCACTGGGCTGTACTGGGAGCTGTGCTGGGCGCTCCCGCCCTCTGGCGGCCGAAAGGGGCACTGCAGGAGAGCCGCTGTGCGGGGACGGGGAGTGCTGGGGACAAAAGGGGGATCCAGGGGGGAACTGGGCTGTACTGGGGCCACTGGGGCAGCCCTGACAAGGCCTGGACCCACCAGAGGTGGGGGGACACTGAGGAGTTCCTTGGGATACTCAGTTTTGCTGCGGTGGCCTCATGGTGGTGGCAATGGGGGGCACGGTGGCACGTGGGGGTACTAGGGCCATAAGAGGGGGGCACTGGGAAGGCACATTGAGGGACCCAGAGACATTGGGAGGCCTCACTGCCTTTGGGGTGGTAACACAGAGGCGGCACTGCAGTGTCCCTGGGTGTTGGACAGGGTTTATTGGACTGGAACAGGACATGGAATTGCCTGGGAACACTGGGGTTTCTTCCATAGTCACTGGGCAGTGTTACTGGAGAGGCTTTGGGAACCCTGTGGAGGGTATGCAGGTATTCCTGAGGACATGATGCAGGTGTTGCTGCAGGGCCTGGGGACACTGTGCAGGTGACACTGAGCTGGCCTGGTGGCACTGGGAGTGTACTGGTGGCACTGGGAGTGGCTGCGCAGGCACACTAAGAAGTGCACCCAGAGGGCATGGAGACATTTGTGGAGGGTTCTGGAAGGGTCCCTGGGGACACAGTATGTGCTGACTGAGGCTGACATTCTGTCATTGTGGGGAGTGCCCACGGGGACACTGGCATGGTTTACCGGGGTGGGACAGTGGGCACTGCTCCAGAGCAGGGGGTATGACCAGGTGAGACGGGGACAGTGGGGACATTAGCTCCCACTCTGACCAGATCCCAGCAGACACAGCATCCCACCCCAGTTCCAAACCCCTGGGGTCCACAGCAGAGCTGGAGATGAGCAGGGGTCCCACTTCGCCCAGGGTGGCCGGGTCACTGCCCCAGCCCCCGGGTGGAGGCAAAGCTGGGGCTGGTGGGGCCGGGGC